GGGGGGGGGGGGGGGGGGGGGGCAATTTAACGACCCGTAACGATTGCCCGCCTCCCAAAGTTCCCGGAATGTTGCACACAATTTCTTGGTAAGTATAAACATACCCTCTTATGCTTATCAGTACGCGAGTTTTGCTCGTTCAAATATATTTAAACTCACCCCCAACACTGAGAGAAAAACAAACACGATGTCAAACAAGTCTTGTTTGGGCCGACAAAATCGCTAATTGAAAATTGCCAAAAAAGAATTTGCTTGGTTCGAATTTAAAAGTCTCAAACATCAATAATTGTTCTGCTTTCGACAGCAACGAAATATTTGGTTCAAGAGGCGGATAATTCACACCAGATGGTGCCTTTTCAGGATGAAAGAATCTCATATATGCCGCGAGAGACTTTGCGAGACATCACGAGACATTACTTTGGAGAGATTGTCTCGGTCTCAGTGAACGCGGAAATTTCCGGTCTTGTTTCAGTCTCGAAATACGCAGTATCGACCCCTCTCGTGATGACTCCGAGTTCACTTACCTCACCTCAGTTTCCAGTTTTTCACCTTTTTATACGTAAAAAATCGAGACGAGACAAAGCGAGACAAAAACCGAGATTTTACATTAAAAATACGAAAAACGTGAGACCGAGATGAGATAAATTGACTGAAATGTTGATAAATTGAAATTGGAGTCATCACGAGAGGAGTCGATACTGCGTATTTCGAGACAGACGAGACCAAACATTTCCATGTCCATCGAGACCGAGACCATCTCTCCAAAGTATTGTCTCTTAAAGCCTCCCTTGGCATCACTAATACTGTGAATTTTTCAGTTGTCTTTTGCAATAATTTGATTTTAAAATTCCCATTGTTGAAAGCTATATAGTTAGGATGCCCTCTTTAACGAAAATATACCGACGGATTTTTCACCGAGTCATTGAGTGGCGCCTGCTCGACTCATCTTTCGTCATCGGACGCGTCTTGTCCCCGCCTATCATCTCTCCCAAAACTATCCTCTCAGAGACGATTAGTGTACGGTAGTTAGGGTTGCTGGCCGTTTTGAATGAGTAGTCGTCCTTAAGCACAACCGGAAAAAATTCGAATGATGCGGCTTGAGTTGCTGGGAGCCTGCAGCCGTTGTTTCATATATAAAACCCATCATCGATCCGAAAATCCACATAAACGAGTGGCCCATAAAGAAAGCCCCAATGAGCCACCAGATTGTTTTATTAAGTGTTTGGCCGATAGTGGCTATTGGGCGGTGTTTAACCTCTTAAACGTGGCACCGCCGGTTTAATTCACCGATTCGTTCAGGGACTTTACGGATCGACTCGACTTTCGATTTTCCGTTTTTGTTTTAAATCGAATCGTGACTCTCAAAAATAAAGGACTGGTTTTTAATGGATATTACAGGATGGTGATTAATCATTGGGGGTGATTATATACCTTCTGTTTTGGTACCACGTCTTGACCTGCGTGTCCGTCAATTGTAGTTTAGCTGCCAGCTCCATTCTGTCTTGGACGCTCAAGTATTTTTGTCTCTCAAAACTCTTCTCGAGGGTTTGTAATTGGTGATCGGTGAAGGCTGTCCGCGCTTTCCGCTGCTTTTTGCTGGGGGGTGAGTTCATGGACGTTGAGGATGACTCCTTTGCATCCTCCTCCTTGACACCTGAAAAAACATTAAAAATCCATGGAATCAATTATATTGATGTGGCAATGTTTGGTGATGCCGCGAGACATTTCACGAGACATCATGAGACAACACTTTCGAGTGATTGTCTCGGTCTCAGTGAACGCGGAAATTTTTGGTCTCGTGTCAGTATTGAAATGCACTCGACTTGAAATGCCTCTCGACTCCTCTCGCGAGAGAAACGAGAGGAGACGAGACAAACGAGACAAGACGAGACAAACGAGACGAAACGAGAAGTCATTCGAGACAATAATAGAAACGAAATGAGACGCGACGAAAGAATCTCTTAATTCTCGACGAGAATTGATTTTCGATGGGAGACGAGACGAGACAAACGAGACGAGAGATATGACGAGACAGACGAGAAGAGTCATTCGAGACAATGACAAAAACGAAATGAGACGAGAAGATGCAGTTTCTCGTCTCGCGGCATCACTAGTTCATTGAGACCGAGATCATCTCTCCAAAGTGTTGTCTCGTAAAGTGTCTCGCGGCACCACTACCAATGTTACTCGATCAAAATAATTTCTCCATCGCGTTTTGCTCTACTCTCTCTAACAAATCGATGGCATCGAGGCCTTTTCCTCCGCCCTTTCCCTCCAATTGCAATTTTCTTTTGTTCTGGAATACTGCGTGGAGTGTAGTGGCGCGCACCCAAGACGCGATTGGCCGTCACGGCAGTCACCGTGCGGTCGCGCGCGTCCCCATGCTGATTGGACCACGCAGACGCCGTTCATACTCGCCGACAAGTGCTCTATAGTTTTAATACAACCGCGAGATATTGCACCCCTTTACCATCTTATTGAGGGTTTCAATTGCTGTTCTTGACTCTCCTCTTCGTTACATCAACCTTCAGCCTTGTAAACGCAACCAAAAGAATTCTCGAGATTTCAGTATTTCATCTGCTCTTTTACATCAGCAATCCCAGGAGTATTCTCCTGAGTGGATATGTGAAGAGCCGTTGTCGTGGATTTATCGATTGGAACTGGCACTTTTAGCTCGGGAGAGAGATACTGACAATATGGGATGGCTATGTACCTTCTTCAATTGAGTTAAGCTGGGGCAAAGCGCTGGCTCTTAGTGCCCGTTTGATCGGCTAGATTCGCATGAACGATCTGAATTTGGTCCACCATGTTGGAAAATGGCGGAGGGCTTCGTCTCTTACCGCCCCCCCCCCTCCCCACCACCCCCCCNGCGAAAAACTCGGGGTGGGAGCCTTCAACCAGGAGATGGTAGAGGATGCGGGTGGTGGGCCGGTGCTCGGTGAAACACTCCGAGAACGGAGGTTGGAAAACTAAATTTACTATGTGATACACTTAGAGGAGAGTCCCGACGGCGGAATTTTTTTCTTTTTTTTTCTCTTTGGTACACTTCCAAGACGTTAGCCGGAACTTTTTCCTCGAGTTTTCCAGCTTACTTTTCTCTCCTCATCTCCCACCCCACGCAATTTTTCTTCCTCGTCTTGAGAAGTAACTTGAGAACAGCCTCTGTCTCCTCTTCACTTCCTTTTTTCCCTCCACTTTGAGATACATTCACGCAACAATATTGTTCGGGAGGATCGTTATAAATCCCTGCTGTCTCTTTGTGTCTCGTGGAGCTACCGTTTAGAAATGTACACAGAATTTTTGAGGTTTATTAGCAGTGATGCCACGAGACGAGATGGGAAACGGTAGCTTCTCGTCTTGTCTCGTTGTCAGGAAACCATTGTCTCGTCTTGTCTCGTATGAAAGTACGAGAGCAATTTCTTCTCTCGTCTCGTCGAGAATTGAAAGATTCTCTTGTCTCGTTTCTGTCATTGTCTCGAATGTCTCGTCTCGACTTGTCTCGTTCTGTCATTGTCTCGAATGACTCTTCTCGTCTCGTCTTGTCTCGTTTCTGTCGTTGTCTCAAATGACTCTTCTCGTCTCGTATCGAAATACGAGAGCAATTTCTTCTCTCGTCTCGTCGAGAATTGAAAGATCCTCTCGTCTCATCTCGTCATGTCTCTCATCTCGTTTGTCTCATCGCGTCTCGTCTCGTCTCGTTTGTCTCATCTTGTCTCGTCATGTCTCTCGTCTCGTCTCGTTTCTCTCGCGTCTCGCGACATAATTATTTATTAGAAGTGAGATACATCAAAGAGCGTGATGATAGAAAAAATTTCCCAGGAACAATGGCAGAGTCAACGACCGGATGCACACACTCAGGTGAAAAAAAAATAAAAATATAATAATAATCACATGGAGATTAGTATCCCATGTGTGCCCTGGTGTGGGATCGTCGCAAATGCACAAAAGCGTGATTAACAGGATGTTTATCGAACAATTACGCCTCCGTGCTGGTGCAATTAGCCACAGCGCGTCGCGATCGTCATCGCGTCATGCTTCTGCATGTTTTCCGTTGTACGATGTCGCAGTTACATGCGCGATATTCTGTATGAAATACATCAGGGAAACGGAAGAGCATAAAACTTTCCCTAAAATGTCTTGCGCTATTTATATGATCTCGAGTGGTTTTTCATCACTTTATGGCATAGACCGTAGGAGAGATAGACTTCCTGACGCTATATTGTTTCATGTTTTATTGGATTATTGCTTTATTTAAGTTGAGTGGTGATGGCGATACTGGCAGTCACCCTTGCGTAAAAAGCTATAGAGATTTCTCACGTGTCATGCAATCGTTGAGGATGCACCGTGAAAAATTCATCGAAATTCATGCGAGCATCGGTGACCCCTCGGGTGTTATATACACACACTATATCGCGGATGGATGTAGCCGAAGCACTTCGGAACCCCTCAGTTGGTTATTGTGACGGTGAATTTATCCCCCCTCTCCAGAATCTGACCCTTCGAGGCATTGTATTACGGATTCTCATGTACATGTTTTTGTAGCGGAAAAAATAGGGGTAAGAGTTGAGTATGAGGATAATGTTATGGTTCAGAATTTTATTGCTCCATTTACTAGCCGCGGCGGCAATGTACAGCACTGAAAATAAGTCCACTTAACTGAGAAATGCGAATTTCCCTAAATTTAAGGTGTTTCGGTTGAAATGTCAAAATAATGACAAAAAAATTGGAAAATTCACGGGAGAAATTTGTTAGTTTGCTGTATCGTTGAGAATTCTTGCACATTTTCTTCAGATGTCAGTTTCAAGAAAAAAAATAATGCAATTTAGGTGTTTTTGGAAGCCCTCCTGCTATCACCTCCGAGGTTACCCCACTCTCAATTAGGGGAATTTTCATGGCAGCCAAAAAAATAATGAACTATTGAGGAAAAACTAGTGGCTGATAAATCAAATCTTTCTTGAGAACACGTAGGGGACGGTGGGGCAAAATGAAACACGGGGCAAAATGAAACAGCAAGAAAATCTCGTGATCTAAGGGAGATAGGACGATTTTCATGAAAACCTTTTTTGTAGAGAATTTTACAAGCTACAAAAAAGGTCCTCTTCAAAAATGTCCTATCTCCTTTAGATGACGAGATTTTCCCACTGTTTCATTTTATCCCGTGTTTCATTTTGCCCCATGCTCCCCTATACGTTTCAGATTTTTTCCGATTTCATTAGAAAGTTATTTGAACAAATGATTCGGAAAATTATGAGTTTCGGGGCAATTACGCCCTCACGCGCAGGCGCGTGATTCGAATGTCAGTGAGCATCATCGGAAAGCTATGGGTTGGACCATGGAACTGAGAGAGAGAAAACACTCGACAGCTTTACCAACTCGAGAAGCATTTCAATATAATTTCAATAATAAGAATAACATCCAATAAAAATTATTTGACACCCGCAGGTGATGAGAAAAAAATCAATCAATCTGATAAACAAAATCAATATTCAAAAAATGTTCAAATGCCCGCTTAAATAGTTACTTGAAAATTGGAAAATTTCGTGCTCAGCGATTGAATCAGGGCTCGAGAACAAGGAGACTCCCCTTCCGTTTCACCCCCCGATGATCTACAGACGAAACACCTCAATTCCCCCAAAAATTGGGTAAATCAACTATTGATGGTGATCACTCGTTTTGCCCCTATTAAGCACTTCTCTCTTCGCATTTTCCCCGTTTAAAATATACGAGTGCGAGGGTGGTTTCAACAGGGGGCGCTGTGGTCACGCGAAAGCTGTGTTAGCGCGCTGCCAAGTGGCTTATACGCTATATCTCGTTTGCCATTGTGCATATATTTTGATACATTAATTCGAGAGCTTTGATACCGCCACGCGTCATCGCATGCTAATTGCGATTGTGTGCATTGAAAACTGAGATCCGGTAATTACAATATTTCTTACTATTTGTCGTTAATTGCCACTGATCAGCGGCACACAATCAATGAGGTGCAATCAGTGCATTAAGCTCAACATTTGCAAATGGAAAAATAACAGCAGTGGGGAGAGTGTGTGTGTGTACTGTCGGGTGAGGTCAAGCCCGACAATGCCAGGGGTTAAGAGGCTTATTCGCGAATCTCGTTACGACGCGTTGAAAAACATCTACACGAATCCCAACGATGACACAGTCTCGCGACACAATGCATACAGTGGCCCGACAGCTTTGGGATATTGTCGAGACTGTGCGCGGGCGAGTCTACATGTATTTTCAGTCATTAGCATGATCCATCGGGGGAACAATGCGCATAATTCAACCCCAATCGGTTTATTCAGCGAGATGAGGAGAAAGTTATTTGGTGACAAAGAGAATTACCAAGTAGTTGTTGAATTTCGACGACTGATCAATTTAAATTCAGACAAAATTTTTCAATTTCATTCAATCAATTGTCACCGACGTCGGTGGCCGAGTGGATTAGACGCAAGTCTAGTGTGCGAAAGGTTGTGAGTTCGATTCCCCGTGGAACCGAATTTTTCAACGGAAGGCTCCGGCGAGCGGGAGGTTGCTAATAGAGGAACCGCCTGTACCGGCATGGGTTTTCTGTGGTTTCCCCA